CAGAGTGAGAATCATATGCTAGACAGTTGAGAGATTATCACTTAAATATTTTCTTAAATTTCATGTGTCTGCTGTCCTTGTGCTGGAGGATAGTAAACAAGGTACAGAAAAAAGCTGAAAGGATTCACACAGGTAATTTTTTCTGATGTATACACGAAGGGAAAGAAAATGAACAGAAATAAAGTTTACATTTTGTAGTGATGAGTCCAGCTGCATGAAAAGATTGGACGGAAAGAATCCACATGATAGTAAAAGATAATCACAGTACTGTTTGCTCTAGCTATTGACGAGCTCTTGGTTCATTATTTTAAAATGAAAGAAGGGGCCAAAAGTGCTTTTGTGGATTTGATGTTAAGCTGAAAGTAGCATTTGGATAACACCAGACAATATAAAATCTTATATTTATTCACCATTTTCTTGGTGTCATAAAGTGTTGTTTTTTAGTCAGTCATGTCCGACTCTTTTGCAACCCCATGGCCTATAGCCCACCAGGCTCCTCTGTCCATGGGATTTCCCAGGCAAGAATACTGGAGTGGGGCCATTTCCTTCTCCAGGGGATCTTCCCAACCCAGGGATCAAGTCCTTGTCTCCTGGATTGGCAGGCAGATTCTTTACTACGGAGCCACCAGGTGTCATAAATGCTTCTTTTTAAAATAAGTTACAATTTTTCAGTGATCAAAATTCAAACTCGCATCTCTCTGGGATTGGTGTGAGCACACTTTTTTTCCCCTTGTAAGGAATGTGTGCCAAAGCAAATGGAGACCAGTATATGTTTCATCAGTGAGTAGGGGAAGGTAACACTTTGGGCTTCCCCTGGTGGCTCAGATGGTAAAGAATCTGCCTGGAGAGCAGGAAACCTGGGTTCGATCTCTGCCTTGAGACAGTTCCCTGGAGAAGGGAATGGCCACCCACTCCAGTATTTTTGCCTGGAGAATTCCATGGACAGAGCCTGGGGTTGCGAAGAGTTGGGTATGACTGAACGACTAACACTTTTCAGGGAAAAATAACTAGTTTGAATCCTATTATTAATGTCTTCACAAGAGTGACTTCCTGCCTTTGTATATTACCTGATTTTGTACTATGCTTATGTTAGTATCTTTAGTTTTGCTCCAAAGTCCATTTAACTGAAAGTCAGCTTCTGTCGCTGAGTAGGGAAGATCCACTGAAGAAGGTCATGGTAACCCACTCCAGTATTCTTACCTGGAGAATTCCATGGACAGAGGCACATGGTGGACTACAGTCCATGGGATCACAAGGAGTCAGACACAACTGAAGTGACTTTGCACATATGCACACATTTTACAAAAGTTAATCAGACACATTGGTTTTTCCTATCTTGCTTCTGCCCCGTGGCTTATAAAGTTAATATTGGTTTATTAGAAACTTAAATAAGAAGTTTTAATTCAAGGTCACCCTTGAGGCAGATCCAGGATAAAGATACCAACTCAGACATTTTTAATTGAAATGTAACAACAATGTTGGTCTATACTGGTCATTAATATTTTCAGAACATTATGTTTATAAAAGGACTCCTTAACGATCACTCACTACCAACACAGTTTTAAAATAATATTGTAAAGCAGAGCAATATGACTGATACCATCTTCCCAAGAAGTCAGGAACAATGTGGATGGACCTAAAGACTGTCATACACAGTGAAGTAAGAAAGAGAAGAACAGATACTGTTTATTAGTGCATATATGTGGAATCCAAAAAAATTGGTGAAGTCAATCTTATTTCCTAACCAGAAATAGAGACATAGATATACAGAACAAATGTATGGAGATGAAGAGGAGAAAGGGGGTGGATGAAGTGGGAGATTGAGATTGACACATATACACTGTTAATCTCCTGGAGAAGGAAATAGTGACCCGCTCCAGTATTCTTGCCTGGGAAATCCCACGGACAGAGGAGCCCAGCCCATGGGATTGCAAAGAGTTGGTCATGACTGAGCACACACGCACGCCTGTATATCTACAGCTGATCCACTTTACAGTGGATACTAACACATTGTAAAGCAATTATACTCTGATAAAAACAAAAATTCTACATTATAAAAAGAAAGAGTTACATGGAACGAGGTTTCTTTCCTCCTTGACATATACTGTATTTAGCTTAATTTACATTTTCTTTTCTGATACTCTTGTGTAAGAGAACTATTATATTTAAGTTACTAATTTTTATTGTCAAGTGTGTTACTAAAATTAAGCATACTATTCAGATATAGTATTTACATCATTATGCTATGCAAGCTTCAAATAAGATATAGTAATTAATTTTATGATAATTTTTAAGACCCATTCTTTTTGGTTCATATGCTCTATGAAGTAAATTCAATTGACTGGACAAGAAAAAATGTTTATATTAATGGTTTGTCAAAATAGATCTCCATGGGAAAAAAGATATATATCCTATATCAAAAAGCATGCAGATTTTCTCCATTGCACTTGTAAGTGAAGTGAAGTGAAGTGAAGTCGCTCAATCCTGTCCAACTCTTTGCGACCCCATGGACTGTAGCCTACAAGGCTCCTCTGTCCATGGAATTTTCCAGGCAAGAGTACTGGAGTGGGTTGCCATTTCCAAGTTAAATAAATATTTAGGATTAAATTTCCATGAGTTGCTGACATCCCTCTGGTCAGAGTTAATAAAAATCACAGGTGGAAAGAATATAAATGAACATCATGCTTGCAAAGCTATAAAGGAATTACTCAGTGTTCCTTCTTCCAAAGTATTTTCAAAGTACATGCATCAGTTAAATACATATATTAAAGACTAGCTTAAAATGGTGAGCTTAGTTAGATTTTAATTGTGTTAAGCATTGCTTTAGGTAACCCTGTAAATGAAAAATACCCTCCAAGGTCAGCACTTAAGACCTCTAGAGTGCTTGCTTGTTCTTTTATTTGTGTGTTTGCTTTTCTGACTTATATATGTGCCAGTAATGTCTCTTGCACTTTGCAAGAGACATTTGCACTCTTTGCACTAGACAAAATGTGTTCTCACAGTTTGAATGTGTAAACATTTTTTTGGTTTTGTTCATTTCATTTTGTTTGCTGTTTTGTTACACTTGATATCCCCATTGCCTAAATCAGTGCATAGTGTCTGCACTGTGGCTCTAATCCAGGCAAACTTCCTCGCAGTTGTCACATACATCTGGGCATCTTATTCTGTGTTGTTATAGTCAGATATTTCAGTCAGTCACATAAATGTTGATTTTTAATTACTTTAATGGTCAACATTTAACTGTGATCACCAGTAAAAACTTTTATAAAACTTTCCACTAGGTTTTCTTCCTGTCTTTTGGTAAGTTATTATATGATGGAAAAGGCATGGACCTTGGAGGTCAAACCCAAGTTGCTCTCCAAATTTCACCAGTTACTAGTTGTGTGATCTTAATTTAGTTAATTTCTCTAAATCTTAGTTTCCTCGTTTGGAAGATAGAATGATAATATCTATTTTATATAGCTATTAGGAAGATAACGATCCTGTCAAATGTCCAGCAAATAACTAAGTATCGATAGTATAGTGAATATGAGATCAGGATCTGAAATCACACAGACCTAATTTCAAATCTCAGATTTTATACACAGCAGATGTGAAAACCTAAGTAATTTTTCACCTCTGTTTAGTCTCAGTTACCTTATTGATTAAGTGGCTGTAATAAAAATACCTTTGTTATGACTGTTAGAATTAAATGAGATATTGCATGTAGAACTTGTGTTAAACACAAAATGAGTGCTTAATAAATGGTAGTTGTTATTAGTACTTGGAATTGTTGTATTTAGTATTATCTATGCTGCTATAGTTATTAGAATAATAAAACCTTCATTTCTGTGATATGAAAGTCTTAGTTTCTAGTCAGACTTAAGGTAATATCAAATACATTGCTTATAGTATTTGTATTGCTACACTGTTGTCAATATAGTAATATTTAATAAAATAGAAAATATGTGATAGTATTCCTCATAAGCTATAATGTAAATAAACCACACATGGCTATTTTTTAGTTGGTTTGCTTGAAGCTGTTGTTGAAAAATTTATCCAAATGCACCTTTGAATGAGGCAGCTGCACTTATGAATGATTGAGAGATTAGAGATGGAAACAAAGGTAGCTTAGACTTGACGTACCAAGAGCAGTGAAAGTGCCAAGACAGAATTGATAACAATACACACAAGACTCTGCATGCGTCAAAAAGATCATAGGACTCAGTTAATCCAGTTCCTAGTTTTATGGAAGAGGGGATATTGAATATCTGAGAGATTGGGTGACATGCCCAGGGTTAAGGACAAGAAGGAATAATGTCCTGACTTCTAGTTAAATACTCTTTCCATTAAAGCCAAACTACTGTGGGAATCAGGTTTTCAGAAGCAAAATAATCCTGCCTGGAGATTTTTGTCAAATTTCTATAACTGATTGGTATCAACTAATACAGTTCTTACCAGGTATAGGAAGCTATATCTTTCTCAGTAGGATGAAACAATTTTAATAATTATGTTTTGAAAAAATCAGTTTAAAATAAATGCATTTATAGAGCTATCTCCTTAATTTAAAAACTTTGATGGTGTAGAAAAGAGTCATAGTAACTTCTGATTGGTCACTCTTCATTTAAAGGATGCAGAGTCATTAATCGTAGTTCCTCTAATCTGCGCCTTACACTATACTAAGTACATGTCACGGAGGCTCTGGGAGAGCCAGTACAGTTTGTGTATGTTTTTGTGGTAAACCTTTTAACAGACTATACTAAGTGTACTTCTGATAGTAGGTTGCTTTCTACAGTTGACAGTGACATCAGCCACCAGCGCCTCATCTGCTACTTCTAGTTAGCTAATAATTGTTTTATTCAAAAGTAACTAATTATTTCGTTCCAAAACCATAAATAGGAGCTTAATTCATAGCTTTATCCATTGTTAATCTTCAAGGTATAGAATTATACAAAGAAAAAGCTGCCAAAACCCTGCTTTTCCCCAGATTGTAATTTTTGCTTCTCTGTCTTGTTTTATAGAGCTACATTCATGGGAGCAGCCAGGTCCAATTCGTGGCAGAGTCACACATTATTCTGGTACTAAGTATCCTTTAAAATACTGATGGGTTGATAAGAACAAAGCAGAGCTGCATGCTGTCAAACTGATTTTTTTCCTAACAAATAATCAAGACTTTTGAGACATTAAATTTGAAACTTTACCATGTGACTAATTTTCCAATTCCTATGCTATTTTCTCTTACCATGTAAGTTTTAAAATTCTAAATCATTAATAGGTTATAATTTTCTCTTTTTTTTTTTTACTGACTATTGAATTTTGAAGTATAGCTTTTGATTATCTCTGGCTAGAGTTTTTTGTGATGTCTGTATGGTTTTCCCCTTTTCTTAATGGGGAAGGAAAAAAAGTGTTATATAAAAAGCAGGATAAAGAAATTATCTTAGTTCCCTTAAATGTTATAGTAAGTGAGAAGAGGAAGATTTAGGATAATTAGACATCTTTTTGGAACATGAAAGACTAAATGTTATGAATCAGATAATACAGTACAATTTATGGTTTAGAGGTAGAAGGGTAAAACAGCAGAATAGCAAAGAGGTACGATACATTTTTCAAAAAACAAATTACATATTACTAGAATGAAGTAAGGTTAATTTTGGGGCAAACAGCTGTACTTTGGGGGAACACTGACATTTGTGTGAGTCCTGTGGAAACATTTGTATGTTAAGTTTATAATGAATGTACTGAGTCATTGTCAGGATCTAAAGTGTGCCTTATAGTGTCATTTATAAAATTTGATTACTCTGCTGGTTACCAAGATTCATCTTCAGATAAAGCAGTCTAGACCCTGTTTTCTAGTATCTGATATAACCATAACTATTTAAACCTTTAAGGATTCTTAGAACTCTCCTAGAGCAAAACCTCATTTTATAGCTAGGAAAACTAAAACCCACAAAATTTAATTGCCTTGCCTTAGTTTGGAGAAAGAACTGTATATTTTCCTAGACATACATACCTATGGTACAGGTTAACTTACAGACTAGGCATAGTAAGAGAATATCCGAACTGTCAGCATCACTACTCTTGTGCTTTGGGGCCACTGTTAAGTAAACAGCGACCCCACGACAGCTGATCTGGTAGCAGGACGGCTGCTGAGTGCCGACGGAACAGGTAGTGAACACAGTGTGGGCACTCTGGACAGAGGGACATCCGGATGGAACAGGGCGGAAAGCTGTGAGATTTCATCCTACTGCTAGAATGGCATTTGAATCTTACTGTAAAACTTACGAATTATTTTTGAACTTTTCCATTTAATGTTTTTGGACTGTGGGTAACTGAAACCATAGAAAGTGAACCTGCAGGAAAGGGGAAATAGGTATTGCAGGTAACTTTTTGGTTCTATAGTTCTTCCTTTTTCTTTTCTATCTGTTTTCAACCCATGATGTAGCATTTTAGCAATATACTTCTTTCAAAGCAGCTATTAAAACATCAGAAATACCTAGCAAAAGGAATGAAAAGGTGTGTTGAGACCATCATTCCATTGTATGGCAGGAATTCTCCAAGGTTTCATTTCATGGCTCATTGACCGCAAGCCGAGATTTAGGACGCAAAGAAATTTTACAAAAAGTATGAAGTCTTCCATGTAGATTTTTAACACTAAAATGTATTATCTTTCTGCTGCTAGTAACTATTTATTCCTTTATCGCTGCTGTTCTTTTTATTTGCCTGTATCTATGAAAAGAGAAAATGTCTTAGAATGGTGGGCTCATTAAAATCATCAATGAAAGTTCAGAAGAAGCCATTATATAATAATTTCTGATTTTACTTTTACTTGGCAGAATTTACTAATTTTTTAAACCTTACTTTATAAATTTTTTTTTTTTTGTAATTTGCATGTATGTTTTTATGTGGTGGTTTAGTGGCTGAGTCATGTCCGACCCTTGCAACCCCATGGACTATAGCCCTCCAGGCTCCTCTGTCCATGGGATTCTCCAGGCAAGAATGCTGGAGTGGGTTGAAAAAAACGCAAATTCCAGGTGGTAACTTCTTGTTTATCTTTGGAGAATATTTCTACCTTTTGGTTTTCTCTTCCTAATTTAGTAAGCCAGATCATTAGATGCAGTTGCTACATACAAAATTTTATTTCTTCTTTTTTTTTTTTCATTTATTTTTATTAGTTGGAGGCTAATTACTTTATATCATTGTAGTGGTTTTTGTCATACATTGAAATGAATTAGCCATGGATTTACATGTATTCCCCATCCCGGTCCCCCCTCCCACCTCCCTCTCCACCCAATCCCTCTGGGTCTTCCCAGTGCACCAGGCCCGAGCACTTGTCTCATGCACCCAACCTGGGCTGGTGAACTGTTTCACCCTAGATAATATACGTGTTTCGATGCTGTTCTCTTGAAACATCCCACCCTCGCCTTCTCCCAGAGTCCACAAGTCTGTTCTATACATAGGAGTCTCTTTTTCTGTTTTGCACATAGGGTTATCGTTACCATCTTTCTAAATTCCATATATATGTGTTAGTATACTGTAATGGTCTTTATCTTTCTGGCTTACTTCGCTCTGTATAATGGGCTCCAGATTCATCCATCTCATTAGAACTGATTCAAATGAATTCTTTTTAATGGCTGAGTAATATTCCATGGTGTATATGTACCACAGCTTCCCCATCCATTCGTCTGCTGATGGGCATCTAGGTTGCTTCCATGTCCTAGCTATTATAAACAGTGCTGCGATGAACATTGGGGTACACGTGTCTCTTTCAGATCTGGTTTCCTCGGTGTGTATGTCCAGAAGTGGGATTGCTGGGTCATATGGCAGTTCTATTTCCAGCTTTTTAAGAAATCTCCACACTGTTTTCCATAGTGGCTGTACTAATTTGCATTCCCACCAACAGTGTAAGAGGGTTCCCTTTTCTCCACACCCTCTCCAGCATTTATTGCTTGTAGACTTTTGGATAGCAGCCATCCTGACTGGTGTGTAATGGTACCTCATTGTGGTTTTGATTTGCATTTCTCTGATAATGAGTGATGTTGAGCATCTTTTCATGTGTTTGTTAGCCATCTGTATGTCTTCCTTGGAGAAATGTCTGTTCAGTTCTTTGGCCCATTTTTTGATTGGGTCATTTATTTTTCTGGAGTTGAGCTGGAGGAGTTGCTTGTATATTTTTGAGATTAATCCTTTGTCTGTTGCTTCGTTTGCTATTATTTTCTCCCAATCTGAGGGCTGTCTTTTCACCTTGCTTATATTTTCCTTTGTTGTGCAAAAGCTTTTAAGTTTCATTAGGTCCCATTTGTTTATTTTTGCTTTTATTTCTAAAATTCTGGGATGTGGGTCATAGAGGATCCTCCTGTGATTTATGTCGGAGAGTGTTTTGCCTATGTTCTCCTCTAGGAGTTTTATAGTTTCTGGTCTGACATTTAGATCTTTAATCCATTTTGAGTTTATTTTTGTGTATGGTGTTAGAAAGTGTTCTAGTTTCATTCTTTTACAGGTGGTTGACCAGTTTTCCCAGCACCACTTGTTAAAGAGGTTGTCTTTTTTCCATTGTATATCCTTGCCTCCTTTGTCAAAGATAAGGTGACCATAGGTTCGTGGATTTATCTCTGGGCTTTCTATTCTGTTCCATTGATCTATATTTCTGTCTTTGTGCCAGTACCATACTGTCTTGATGACTGTGGCTTTGTAGTATAGTCTGAAGTCAGGCAGATTGATTCCTCCAGTTCCATTCTTCTTTCTCAGGATTACTTTGGCTATTCGAGGTTTTTTGTATTTCCGTACAAATTGTGAAATTATTCGTTCTAGTTCTGTGAAAAATACCGTTGGTAGTTTGATAGGGATTGCATTGAATCTGTAGATTGCTTTGGGTAGTATAGCCATTTTGACAATATTGATTCTTCCAATCCATGAACACGGTATATTTCTCCATCTGTTTGTGTCCTCTTTGATTTCTTTCATCAGTGTTTTATAGTTTTCTATGTATAGGTTTTTTGTTTCTTTAGGTAGATATACTCCTAAGTATTTTATTCTTTTTGTTGCAATGGTGAATGGTATTATTTCCTTAATTTCTCTTTCTGTTTTCTCATTGTTAGTGTATAGGAATGCAAGAGATTTCTGTGTGTTAATTTTATATCCTGCAACTTTACTGTATTCGTTGATTATCTCTAGTAATTTTCTGGTAGAGTCTTTAGGATTTTCTATGTAGAGGATCATGTCATCTGCAAACAGCGAGAGTTTCACCCACAGATGGCTAACAAACACATGAAAAGATGCTCAACATCACTCATTATCAGAGAAATGCAAATCAAAACCACAATGAGGTACCATTACACACCAGTCAGGATGGCTGCTATCCAAAAGTCTACAAGCAATAAATGCTGGAGAGGGTGTGGAGAAAAGGGAACCCTCTTACACTGTTGGTGGGAATGCAAATTAGTACAGCCACTATGGAAAACAGTGTGGAGATTTCTTAAAAAGCTGGAAATAGAACTGCCATATGATCCAGCAATCCCACTTCTGGGCATACACACCGAGGAAACCAGATCTGAAAGAGACACGTGCACCCCAATGTTCATCGCAGCACTGTTTATAATAGCCAGGACATGGAAGCAACCTAGATGCCCATCAGCAGACGAATGGATGAGGAAGCTGTGGTACATATACACCATGGAATATTACTCAGCCATTAAAAAGAATTCATTTGAATCAGTTCTAATGAGATGGATGAAACTGGAGCCCATTATACAGAGCGAAGTAAGCCAGAAAGATAAAGACCATTACAGTATACTAACACATATATATGGAATTTAGAAAGATGGTAACGATAACCCTATGTGCAAAACAGAAAAAGAGACTCCTATGTATAGAACAGACTTGTGGACTCTGGGAGAAGGCGAGGGTGGGATGTTTCAAGAGAACAGCATCGAAACACGTATATTATCTAGGGTGAAACAGTTCACCAGCCCAGGTTGGGTGCATGAGACAAGTGCTCGGGCCTGGTGCACTGGGAAGACCCAGAGGGATTGGGTGGAGAGGGAGGTGGGAGGGGGGACCGGGATGGGGAATACATGTAAAAAAAAAAA